AGACAAGGGAATTACATTTATTACTACATTTTATATTAATAGTGTATTACCTGGTAACTAGGTTTTTTTTTAAGTTTTTGAATGCATTTTAATTGGTACATGCAGCTGAAATGTGCAAGTCTTCATGTTGTTGGTGCAAAAATTACACCCAGTAAGAAAGTGAATGAGCGAACTTTTGATTTCCACAAAAGTTTTTAAAGTTTAGATATGTAACCAATTATACTGATTGCAAGTCAAAGGCATTCTAAGTACCCTCTATAATTTTGTGTTTGCAGTAACTGTATCCAAGGAGTTTTAGGAACATGCAGAAGACTCCCCTAAGAAGCTTTTTATTTTGAACACAAAACTTTCTGTTTCAACTAAACTCCCGTATTCTATCTGGGCAGACTCACGTGAAGATCACTTCATAGAATGCCTACATTGGAGTCTATTCAAGGCTATAGCAATTTCCAAGTCTCAGTGATAATAGATCAATGGTATGGAAGGGGAGACTACAAAATTAAACAGTAGGAGTTATATCTGGTTATACTGGAAGTTTACTGTTCTCTTGCATCCTACTCAAACTTCAGGGATCTTTTGGGTCCAAAGGGCAAAATGAAGTTCTTGGAGTAAACTTAACATGTTATATGAATTACATTACATAAAATACTGCATACGTACAAAATATATGATCCCAACCAAAGCTTACATCATATTACCTTTGCTGCTGTAATATTCAGTTCTCGCAGCTGAGCCTTTAAGTCAGAATTCATCTCCAACTCCAAGAGAGCCTTAAGAGAGCATTATTATTATTTAGATTTATAGGTTGCCTTTCTGCTTTGGATGTTTTACTTTTGGCAAATAATTATATTTGTCATGGACCTATGGTATTTTGATTAAAATACTTAGATGAGCTACAGATTCGGCTAAAAGGTCTGGAAGCTATCCTAGAAGCAATTAGCCCAGGTTCCTCTTAAATACACCTCAAATACATAAAAGTGACTTCCATTTCCATTTAAAATGATCTTTCAACCACAAAATCCTTACTAAACTTTCCAACTGCACAGTGTTTATTTGGTATACAAATGTTTATCACAAAATAATCATTACAAATCCCTAACTATAACCAGCTCAGTAGTAACATTTTAAAGCTGCTCTTATTTCCTTCAGCCTAAAAATTTCAACTAATTTTATCAAACAAAAAGGGCACATACCTGGGAGATGCCAGACTCAAATTCATCTGGCTTTTCGCCATTGGGCTTCACAATCTTTGCACTCGAACTGAACATGGCCTTTCTACATTAAAAAAAAACAAAAACCCTCAGTACAGAATACAAAATGTCCTTCACAATAGTTAAGGAAAAGTAAATGTTGGTTCTATGTGATTATTTTTTAGCTAGTCCTGCAGATTTTAATCTATAACACAAATGAATGTGTAGAAATACCAAACAAAGCAGTAAAGCATTTAAGGACATAATAGGAGCTAGTAAAAGAAAATCTAAGTTCAACCAACTGCTTGACAATAATTTCTGAATTATAGTTTTCATATTTATAACAGCTTACAAGAGTAGGCTACCTCATAAGGCTATTGTATATGGCCAATACAAGTTGCAAAGCATTTGATACCCTTAATTATGCACAGCCCTTTACACATATAAATCACAGTGCTGGATTAACAGCATCTTCTTGCTCAGAACAGAGTTACTGTAAAATATCCCACACATACAAGGTGGTCAAGATACAATATCCTTTCCAAATATACTCTAAAAACAGATTGGGTAAGGCTGTGCTGGTCAATGACCAAAATAAAGATTTTGATGTGACTGGATAACGCATGAATACTACAGCAGCTTTCTAAAGAATCCCGAACAGTGGGATAGAATGTGCTATATAGAAGAACCTTAGCTTCAAACAGTCCCCCCGTTATTATTCAGTATTTGGAAAATGCAAGATAGGAAAGATGACGATTAACCCCGTGCTAAACTCAAAGGCCTGTAGCAAAGTTGGCTGATTTGCATCAGCATCTCACCAGAGCACGTATGCTGAAGCTGGCAAGTTTATCCACCATGTGCCATCATGAGGGCAAGAAGAGCCATTTTCTATTAAATAAACATCGCTGAGAGAGAATGGGTGGGGGGAAAACAGTTTCTTTTGCAGAGAACTATGCCACAGAAGTAATGCTGCTGGGATCCCAATGGGAGGCTGAATCAACAAACTCAGGAGTGCAAGAAGCGCGTGGACCCGGAAGCCGTGGCACATTTGGGATCTACTAAGCCCAAAGTACCATTAAAATACAAAATCAAGCTTTTTTATGGTTCTACTCCCTCTCCCTCCCTCCCAGATTTTTTTTCCTAGCGCCCCCCCCCCACACAAGACCAAGCTCCTTTCCTGCCCCAGGCAGCCATCGGGCACTAAGAAAGGGCGAATCGGACGCATCCCGAGACGCTCGGGCCAGAAAAGCAGATTTCCGCCAACAAGACATAATATCACTAGACCCTCCAAGGAAAAACACATCGTCACCTCCCGCCAGGCCCAAGTCGCTCATACCAACCGCTTTCGGTGCCGGCCTAGAAAAAGGAAGAGTTCTCGCGAGAACACCGCTCATCCCCGGCGTGGAAAACCTTGACTCCGCCCCCTTATTCTCCAAAAGGCTCAATAGGAAGCCTAGAAGGCAGAAGACTTCCGCCCTCGCGAAGTTTTCTAGCGAGAGTGAACTCTGGGCAGAAGGTAATCTGGCCGCTTGGGCAAAAGTCTGGCCGTGACCGCTTTAAAAAAAAAAGGGAGGGAAGCGAGTACTGGTTTTAAGCTGGTTGTCATATCCACAAATACATACGCATTACCTTTTTAGATCTTTAATCTATATTACAGCCATACTTTTATTAGCCCCTTTAAAATCACAACTTGCAAACTTCAGTTATTCATCTAATGTTCTTTCTTAAGCACGACAAAAAACAAATTGAAGAAGGGGGAAATTGGAGTACTTGGTTGGAACTGGAACCTTAACATGGAATGTGAAAAGAGGCTTTCTTTCTTTCCTTCCTTTTGCTTTCGAGCCTGGTGACTGTCTGGGCAAGTGCCTGAAGTTTTCTTGAGAAGATTTCAGAAGTAGTTTCCCCTTGCCTTCTTCCTAGGATTGAGAGTGACTGAGCCAAAGTCCCCAGCTGGCTTTGTGCCTCAGGCAGGACTAGAACTCAGCCTGCCAGTTTCTGGCCTGGCGCCTTAACCACTACAGGAACATTCAAATCCTAGTCCATCTAGTGCTAAGAGGGCTTGGTTTTGCCTTGTATTCTAATGCTACTGAGGAAAAAAATAGCCATTTTTTAAAATTAGAAAATGCAGCTGTAAGAGTGGCTTTTTCCTAACTATTTTCAAATTTGTTTAGCTGAGAGCAAATGTGTGTGAGATGAAAATTGAATTTTGTAACAATGGAGACTATACATAGGGTTAAATTGTTAGGTTTTTATGTTTGTGAAGATTCTGTCATCCAGGTGGAATTGTCTGGAGGTTGAGTCATGGCAACCTCCAGACTGTTAGGTTTTTAGTGTTCTCTGACCTTGATTTTCTTCTTGCAGACATTTCATTATCAGACTTGGTAACATCTGATAGGACAAGCTGCTATATATAAACAGCCATCAACCCCACTTCTCAGTGGCAGAACACTGGTAAGAAGAAAACCAACCTCCGAACACAAGAACCCAACAAACCTGGGGGTTTATTATTCTGATGTTTTTATTTTTGGATGCTATTTTCTTATTTCGTTTTGATGATGTGTTGTATGCTTTTTATAGTTACTTATAATGCTTTAAACTTTGAAGCTTTGTTAGCTGCCCAGAGTTGCTTGGATGAGATGGGTGGCTGTATAAATTGAATAAAACAAACAAATCCAACATTGCTATAAGCTCCTCTTGCATGGTAACATTATACAGGTTGCTTGTCAGCTTTCAGAGGTGCTGGGTTTGAAGTCAAGGAATCTGCTTTAGTTCAAAAATTAGTTTCTAAGTGTAATCATTCTTTTCCTTCCATTTGCAAAGAGCCATGGACAGGGAAGAGAGGAAATAAGTCATCTTGCCGAAGAAACAATATACACTGCAAAAAAACCAAAAAGTATTCATATTACAGCAGTGCCAACTTAGGTCACCAAATAGTATTGTCCAGTATTCCAGAACACTTCATTAGAATCCTATGTAATTGCTGGCCTCCTTGTATTTCCCTTCTCCCAGTAACTTCTTTATATCTGTGCATAACTTTTAAAGGGAATTTCTCATTAAAACTTCCCCACGTGAAAGATTGCACAACTACATAGGTTCACAATTCAGAGATATGTCATCTTTACTTGGAGCTTTTTGGAAAAAGAGGTCTGTTAGGGAGGTTTTAACTTACTCCTTGTCAATTTGTAACAAGTTGTTGACAACACTTCTATCACAAATTATAGAAGATACCAACTTGATCAGTCTCTATTCAAAAGTATTTAGGAACCAGACTAGTGCAGCCTAAGCCTTGGAAATAAATCTTGCCTCTTAAAAGTGAACTCACTCCCCACTAATTGTTGTAATGTCAATTTATATCTATCACGCCTAAAAAAGAAAACACCGGTCGAGGTCAGCTACAGTTTTATTGCAGCTCAGAAGTAAACCGTGCTGAATTTAATGCAGATCAGACGCTTATCATTTCGGCCTACGAGTATCAGAGTGAAATGAGCGTCACTTTCCCGCCTTCAAGACGAACGCGGAAAGGTCGCGCATGCGCACACGCAAAGCTCGCTTGAGTAGTTCCACTCTTTCGGAGGCAGAAATCGGGGGTAGAGTAGGCAAAACCCTGCGTTAGCGCTTGCGCAGAAACTACTTTCGTTCTCCAGAGCGACTTAAACTTTCATAGACGGGTCATGGAGACGAAGAAGCAGAGCATCCTTCCGGTTTCCACTTGAACGCCGCTCTGGGTTGCGCCTTCCTGCCGAGACGTCAACTATCTCAGTTAATACGCTACTCACAGCCACGTGAGTTCCGCTTGAGAACCGGAAGTGTTACTCTCCATTGTTTGCATCTCCGGTTCGGTATCCCACCGCGACGTCCCCTTCACGGCGCCCGATTATTTCGTTATCCGGAAGTGTGGATCCTGGATTCGGTCGAGCCCGAGAGTGAGACGGGGAGGCGGCGGTCGGGCAGATGGGAGGGGGCGGGAAGAGGCGGGGTTAGTTATGTTGCGCCGGATCCTGGCTCTGCTCGTTCATCCATTTTTGCCCCCCAATTCTGAAGTCCTCGGTAGAGGTGGCATGTTCTATGCGGTGCGGAGAGGCAGGAAAATTGGAGTGTATCCCACTTGGTGAGTAGCTGCCCGTCTTTCTCCCACTCCGTAATGTTTCAGACTCTCATCCCTTTAAAGCAAGAATCCTTAATTGCAACTCCTGTCGAAGTTTTACTTTTTCCCTTCTTTTTATGTTCCGAACAGCCCTGTACGGTAGGATAAGCTGCGAAGTAGAGTTCAGCCAGCTGAGGGACTTGGAGGAGGTAGCCTTGATTCTGGGTCTTAAAGGCTCTTAAACTATATTTAAGAATTATTTATTTATGCATACTGTTCTGCAAAGTGTCATGGGTCATTGAAATATAACAGTTGCAACTTACTATGTATGTATTTATTTATATAGCTCCCCGTCTCACAGAGCGTGACTCTGGGTGGTGTACAATAAAAAGCAAGTAACAAAAAGAAATTAACAAAAAGCATTCTACAATTAAAAACACTGATCAGGATTACTAGTAACAGAGTAGTAGAGAGATTTATTATTATAGGCAATACAGCCATCTTTCTAATTCACCACTTCCTTGAGATCCCCAAACCTGTTTATACAACCATGTTTATTTATTCATTCAGTCAATCAGTTTGTATGGCTGCCCATCTCAGCAAGTGACTCTGGGCAGTGAGGCATAAAAGCAATGGATCTCTTAAGGAAAATGGAGAAGATGAGAGGCTGTTAAGTAGATGTTAGTTGCTGTTAAGATTGAATTTTAAAAACAAAGCAAAGTCATTTATTCCCATGTTCAAATACTCACTGAGCTATTAAGTTCACCAGGTAGTTTGGAATTAATCATATATTTCAATCTTACTTAACCTTACAAAGATGTTGTGGTGATAGTTAGCAAGGAGAAGATGGTATTCTCACCTTTGAGCTTTTAAAAAGAAATATAAATAAAGATTTACATGGAAATTATTGCAACTAAGTTTACTGAGATTCAGTTTCAAGGAAATATGTTTTTGCACTCTGAAGATGTCATCTTGTACAAATTTATTCAGAAATAGTTGAGTTGAATTCATTAATACACCAAATGTGTACATACGATTGCAAGTCTGAGAGCTCATAAATAGACTTTTTTGGGCTATTTGCACAAATACTTTTATGGGAGGGAAGAAGAAATGGGCCAATATGCAGCTTTAAAAGCTGGAAATTGTCTTCTAGGGCTTCCCCACCTCTATCACATTCCTTCCTTTTTTCATGCTGAATGATCTGTTGCTTTCCGGCATAGATTGTGACTTGAACTGTAAAATTAAGCAAATCTATAGAAGAAATTTCTCCAGTTCTGTCTTCACTTCACATAGTTCTAAAAAATTTTTCGACTCTCTTTATGTAAATTTCCCTAAATTAACTTACTTTAGAATCTAAGCCAGTATATTCTTCACTTAAAGGAAATCTGAAAGGAAGCTAAGATTTCCCATGTAGAGAATTTCTGGGGTTGTAATCTAAACATCATGGCCTCTCTTTTTATCACTGCATTTTGACAGGCAGGAATGTAAAGAACAAGTTGATAAATATCAACATGCCAGCTTCAAAAAGTTTGCAACAGAGAAAGCAGCCTGGGCTTTTATAAATGAAGAGTCAACAGAATCATCCATTTCTTCAACAGGTAAACTCTTTAGAAAAAATTGTCACATAGCAGAAATATAGAAATAGCTTTCTGATAATTAATGAGAGTGTGCTAGATGTAATGAAAAGTAACTAGGATGAGCTGTGTATTCAAATGAAATTCAGAACTCCAGTGAGCTGGTTGCATCTCCAGAAAATAATTTCAACTGTATTTACTTCCAGATGTAGGTATGCTGGCTGTTATTTTAATTCAAATCAATCGTTACTGCTGTCATTAATCAATCTTAAAATTATCTTGCTTTTTAAAGTAGAATTGATGGGCAGGATTTTAATACTGTAGTAAAAATAAAAAGTTATAGTTGAACAAATAAGGCAAGGCAAGGATTTTTAAAATCATGCCATGCTTTCCTGTAGATAAAGTGGTCTGAAAAATGTAATGTTACAATGATAATTTTCCTCTGCTTAATGAGGAATACAAGTGCTTGCATTCAGATAAATTACTTGTATCTTTGAACAAATAAGGCAAGGCAAGGATTTTTAAAATCATGCCATGCTTTCCTGTAGATAAAGTGGTCTGAAAAATGTAATGTTACAATGATAATTTTCCTCTGCTTAATGAGGAATACAAGTGCTTGCATTCAGATAAATTACTTGTATCTTTTGGGACCTGGGCAAAGGGGGATGCATTGTAGGCACTATGAAGTTGATTGATTGATTTAATTTGATCTATATAGCCACCCATCTTAGTACATGACTCTGGGTGGCTCACAACATTAAAACAGATAAAAATATATGCAAATACAAAATAAACAAGAAAAACACACAGCAGCTGGAGAAGTTAGGATAATGTAGACAAGTATGGAGATGGCTTTGAAGAAGAACAGCTGTTGTGTAAGCATCAGCTTATGTCAGATGGGAGGATGAGATGGAGGGAAAAAAATTAAAATTGACCTACATTTATTGTCTTTGGTATAAGGAGAGAGAGAGAGAATCTCTGTCAGGCTTTAAAGATTCTCTTATTGCACCATATACCAATAAAGCTCTAGTAGTTTATGTGCTGTTTATTTCCTAAGGTGGTCTACCTCAAAGGGCTGACAATATGCCCATTGAACCATGGCATTTTTTGAGAAAACAAGTAATCAGGCAGCAAGTCTGACAAATCTGTATTTATAAAAGCCTAAGGTTTGAGATTTTTTATTTAATAGAGAAGGTTCTTCTTCTATCTCAGACACCAAAGACAGAGCCAATAAGAAAGGGATAATTCTACCTCTTCTAGACTTGCCTTCATATGTGTCAAGTGTGGGCAACATTTCCCATTACTCTAAAATCTGGACCTTTTCTAATGAAGTTTATTTTATGGTTGTTATTAGTAATGTGCAAGATCTGAACACCATAAAGAAGCTGAGAAATAACCTTAGCAAGAAAGATCTTGCAATCACCTACTCAGCAGCCTTTCCTAAGAAGATTGGATGAAAATGGATGGGTGCTGGATTCTGCTAGGTCAAGCAGTAGTTTCTTGAGGAGAGGCTGGACCACTACCTCCCTCAGAGCTGGTAGAACCACCCCCTCTCTCAGAGATGTGTTCACTGCTGTATGGACCCAACCACATGTCATCTTTGTGGGGCTTGTCCAACCAAGAGGCATGGACCTAAAATGCAAGTGGTCACATAGTCCCAAGGACTGTATCTACTCCTTCAGGACTAACAGGCTCACATTCTTCCCAGATAACAGGGCTAGACCATGCCTTAGTCATCTCCATGGGACCTACATAGCTGGCATCCATTTCAGAGTGATTCTGAGCGACTTTATACAACAGATGTGTAAAATAGTCCTCATAATGGCGTTGCAGATACTTCCTTAGTCCCTCCTTACCCAGGATGACTGAGTCAATAAGACCACTGGCTGGTAATCTGTTGATGCAGTAAGAGTGGATTACTATGAGGTAATCCTTAACAAAGCCTCTTTCTCTTTCTCGGTCAGACTTGCTCTTTGTCTTCCACAAACAGCACTCTTGGCATCTCTACCACCATTTCATCTCTCAAAGCTCCTCCAAAAACCAAGGGGCTCTCCAGGCTCCACAAGCAGCAAGAATCATTTAATCTTATTTAATTAATCTTTAAAGGCATCCATGCTTTTTAGCCTTCCATCATCATTGGCATCTCCAACCATTCGTACAGTATTTTCTGTTGCTTAGCAGATGTAAAACACACAGAAGCATGTTCTTGGGTAATGAATAAAATTCCTCCTCTTTCTACCAGACTAATGCAATAGTATAAATGTGGCACCAAAACTAAGTAGATTAAGTATTGTTCTAGTGATGGAGTTGCTTGCACTGTGTACTATACTATCTTCTGATATTAGTGTTCAAACCATTGTTGGTAGTCAAATCCTATCTTTTAGTTAGAAGTTAGATATGCAAAAAACCACATATTTCTCCTATTAGATATGAAGACTATCTCTGTTATCCTTTACCTTTTGATTAATGAATGGATAAAGAGAAAGGATTATCTCTTACTATTGTACATGTGAATTATTTTTCTTAAAGTTATTCTATATTTTAAATGATTTTTTTTTTAGATTTGTAAATTTGATGAGGCTTGCACAGACATTAAACAAGAAAAGTTTCATGCGAAAAGAGTTTTGGATCTGTGAGTTAAACTGGTTAAAATGTTTGTGTGAGGAACTCCAGTGAGATTCTTGGACATGAGCGTTACACTTTCAATTTGATATTTGTATAACTTTGTTTTTTCTCTAAGGCCTTGGTGATACACCTGAAAAGCAGAAAAGTAATAGCCATTGGAGTAACCAGGCTACATCTGAATCAAATTATACAAGATCATACAAAAGACCATATGAAGAGCTTTCAGAGAACAAGCTTACAAATAAGCGTGTAAAATATACAGAAGTCCCTTATACTCCTTCAGAAAATAAGAATGAATTCTTATATATAGGTAACTCCTCTCTTTCTGCAAATTATTATAGTGCCTTTGAATCTGTTTTATATGATTTTTCTCTTGGTGAAAGAACTTTATGTCCTTCCTTTTACAGCAGTTTGGTTCTGGTGTATTGCTTCTATGCCAAATAACTATAAGAGGTGCAAAAATTTGGGGTTCAAATGCTGCAAGTGCTATAAGTATCTAAAATGGATACGGTGGAAGATGGAAGAAACAAAGCTAGCAAAGGATCAAAACAAGCAAATAAGGGGCATCATTTCCTTAACCATGACTGTTGGGAATGGGAGCAAAATGAAAGGCTTTGGGGGGAAAATAGGCTTTGAAAACGGATTTAAGGAGAAGAAATTTCATCCAATTATGAATTTACACATTGATTCTTTTCCAACAGTGGAGTGAAGTTATCCAAAGCTGGATTGTGCCTTTCTTCTGCTCTAGCAGGCATGACAAAAGCCATAGGGGAGAGGAGTCCTCTGAGCTACTTTTCCAGTACTGCCTGCTCTATTCACAGGTTGCTTAGACATTCCTACTTTCCATTTCCCTTCTTGCCTAGTACTGTATGGTCTCTGAGGGATCGGACAAGACAGCACCAATACTGGAGTCTTCAGACAAGCATTCCAGAGGCTGGGATCACCATCCTTGGGGCTCTGTCATTCACTCAAGCTATTTTTGCAGGAGATCTGACCATCTACCTACAGGTGAAACTCGAAAAATTAGAATATCGTGCAAATGTTCGTTTATGTCAGTATGGCAACT